ATCCAGATTATTGAACTCATGTCCTCGGCCATCTTGCGAATGAGCCAGAAATCTTCTACCGAGATCAGATCCCTTAGGGTCTCTAGTTCATCACAACCACCAGAAAAATGCTCGTTGTTAGTGGCCAGATTTGTTAAACTTCTGTCTTTACTTAAAACACTCCATCTAGCCTTCCTTCTCTTAGTACATCCTCAATTATCAAAACGTGATAACTACTCCTTTTCTGACTAGGACTAACATCTGGAATCAGCATATCGTTCAACTCTAAGCAGACTCACGAATAAATAAAATATACCAGAATTGATGGAATACACCCGGAAATAGCCCACTGACTTGAAAAAAAATCTCATTCTTAAAATATGTGCGTTAGTCAGTGGATATTTGGTAAGTAACCGTCGTTATTGTAACCGTCTTTGCTTTAATTTTTCTTAGGAATAGAAGAGTTTTCGTTATTTTCAATCACGCTTTTGATATTTATATATATATACATGTGTCCACAAATCTCATTTCTGTAGAGTGAGTTTTAGAAGGATAGGTTTCTCAAATCCACCTTGCACAATTCACTAAAATAGCTTAATTCTGCTTAATAGCGTAACACACACCACCCTGTAAAATACGACTTTTATTTATGAAAAGCATCATTTTGTTACTTATAAATGATGGGTAGCCCTAGTAGGTAAGTGGCAATTTAGAACCTAATATGTCTTCAATACTAAGCATCTAATAGCTTAAAATACATCATCATTATCTTCTCAAAGGGACAATATGTATTGCAAATACCACTTTTCATGTAAAAAGTGTGTTTGCTAAGTATAAATATCTGAAATCTACACTACTCTACGAGGTTTCTTGATGATGTGAATGCTCTCAGTGATTTTCTTCCTGTCAAGTTTCAAGTAGATATTAGATTTCATCAAGTAAGTAGTTGATTCCATGAGTTCTTCATGCTGTGATGATGATCTGTCAAATGTAGATTAGTGTCACTTGTACTTAATGTGAAAGCTTTCCATGTGTATGCCATATATTTTTATGTTTCCCGTGCACACGGTCTGTCCAGTGGTATTTTCTGTGAATGATATCCAAGTTCTAACTAAATAGCACCACCTATAGAATAACCCTGGTAACCTTGCGTTGCTTCGAGTCTCCAAATGGGTCTTCAATTCTCTGTCACCTATTGCACTTCTGAGTAAGGCGATCCTCACAACAAGTGAGTCAGTTTGTTTATAAAGTACGCGGTGCGTTCTAAGGATACTTTGAACCAGTCCCGTAACACTACATATCTTCAGGTTACTACATGTTTTCATGTATTATTTCGAACTGTTTTCAGTTTTAATCTGTTTTATTGATACAAAAATAAAACCTGTGCACTGTGGTAGAGTATAATTCCATTATGGATAAAATTTATTTTGATAAGTTATGAGAGTGTCATACATCAATATTTACTGATGACGTTTCGAGCACAATTTGTTGCTCGTAATCATATGAAGGTGTGAGCAATAAATTGTGCTCGAAACGCCATCAGTAAATATTACTGTATAACACTGTGACACCTTATCAAAAATAATTGAATTTATTCCGTTTTGTTCATCTGCCTTGCAAACTTGGGGCTTTAGTCATAATATTCTGGCTGATCATTTCATGTGATTTGGTTCTATAAAGTAGATATTCAATAGCATAATCAACCAGCGTATTCTTTATTAGAAGGAGGAGTTTAATTTTCGTTGTCTGTGCCATCGAGAGATGTATACCGTAGTGTTTTGATAGATATTTGGACTTTAATTAATCTTCACCGTTCTCTGTGACGGCAGGCTCAGTTCAGTTACTAACCAACCGAGCAGTAGCACTCAACAGTGCAACAAAAACCTAAATGATGAAATAATGCAGACAGAAGAAGCCTTCATGTCAAATAACTCTCCTATAAATTCATCAGGAGGATCAATAAAAGTAAAATAAAATAATGGTGAAAATAACGATAATGACATAAAGAAGATAGTCTATCAGGAACCTCAATTTTATAATATAAGGGCGGGACATCTGAAATCCTGTGTATGACTTTGAATAAAGCATAAATTAGGGCAACATTTAAACGTACAAACTCAATCAGAGACCTTGTAGGTTGACCCAATTAGACAAAATAGCATAGTTTACAACACTCTTGAAATGACTGTGAGGTAAGTGATATAAGGCATACGAATAGATTTGGGGTAGTCAGACTATCAGAATATAAGAATGAGGGTAAAAGTGGAATAATTGACTCCGTGAAGAAAAGTGATTTAGAAGAAGGCTCAGAAATTGCACTGCGTATATTAACACACAAAAGGGTGGGAGACAGATGAAATTCTCAATAGTAACATAGGTAGGTGGAGTAACAGGTTGATTATTGAATCTTTGGCCATAGAACCTACACCAAACACGCCACCTAACCCCGTCTTGTTAGATATTGAATGCTTAGATCTCGTAAAGTCGTGAAATACGCTTTACCAACCAATTTTGAAGTCTAGGTTCTAGCCAAATTACGTGTATCATCTAAAGGAATGAACGCTATGTTATGACTACTAATGCTTTTTGTCATAGTTGTTTGTATTCCAAATATCAGCCAACATGTTAATGAAACCCAGAATTCGCAAAATAGTTAGCCGTTTGAAATGTACACAGTTCGTTGTCGATGATAATTTACCGCAAATGTCTTCGGAAACAAAACTATTCGCATCACAATATACGATCAGCTTGATACCATAAATCTGGCGATTTGAACTGATTCTACTACTTAAGCTGAGTCAAACCAAGGACACATCGCTGATGACCTCCACCACAGACAAGCGAAACTGCATTCGATGTTTAAATCATCTCGTCCTGACTAACAAGGTCACCTTGTTTGGTAGGAATACAACTAAACAAGTCAACTAATCAGTGGCGCATATTTTTATGCAACCAACATGTTGATGATTTCTGATAAGAAATAACATGATGGCCATGTTTTATAATTCGGAAGATCCTGATTAGTAAAACATTCCTTAGTTACAAACATCTTACACACACATTTGCATCCTTATAACGTTGATTCTAAAATATTTAATTAAGGTCGACGAAAAAATGAAGATCTGAACACAAACAGCTTACATTACCTGACGAAATACTAATTATAATGACAATCATGTAACGACTATTGATAACTAAGTCATGATTTGGTTTGAGTTCTGAATGCAAGATATGGAATCTCACTCATTTATAGCTTTGAGATTTTATCTCGATCATAATGTCGAAGACGTTTGAGCAACTTTCGCGAGCAAACCTTTGAAACCCCTTTAATTTTAATATCACTCACGTTTATACAATTACGACCACTACATGCATCCACTTTTCAAAACTTACAAATCTGTCTGGTCAAACCTTGATCAAATTAACCAAAGTGACTTGTGTCCTTGATGGTATTCTAATCATCTGGAAAACTTGTATCGCTTGGATTATGTCTCACAGATTTTCGACCTCTGCATTTCTTATACTGTATACATGCATTTGTTACCACTAGACTTTCTCGTTTCCCCTTTGACTGGTTGGACCAGGTCTTTTAGAAATGTGAAGACCGGTTTTGCTTTACATATATATCTGTAGATCCAAGCCTACTTTTAGAATACTATACTTCAATCTCGAAATCTGAAGCTTTAGTACGTGTAGCGTTTCCTTTTACGTAGCATGATTATTAGCATTTCGTCCGACTTTCCCTCTGCACTTTGATCACTACTGACTGAAAGATATTTAGGATCGTGTTAGCCAGGAATAGCACCTGCGCCTCGTACGTGGTTAGTTAGTATGCTGCCGGCACTGAATCACCAACATACTTTTTTAAGGTATGCATATTGTGCGACGAATTTTCACTGAAATACTTAAAAACAGTGCAAGCATGGATGTTCCTTTTCGTTAGATTTTCCTAGAAGTATGCACATGATGACAATCGTTTGAGAAGGATGAATTCATCTTGTCTCATCGGTTCTTAATCAACTTGTAATTTGTGTCAAAATCACACTTATTCTCAGTAATAAGCAGTATGAGTTATATTTAGCTGAATAAGTCGTAACTCCATATCCACAATTATCGTTGATTATTCGTATTAAATGCATAAATATTTTTAATGATTTTTGAATCAACTTTGAACAGCTTAGCGCTGTTTCCTTCCAGTTACTTCTTTATATTCCACTGTTTTTTGAACGCTGTTTATTTAGACTCCTGCATTGCTGATATGTACGTTCATTCATTGCTTGTTTCTACAATTGGATAACACGACACATTTCTGCTTTCTTCTTATGCAAAGCATTAGTGCATTTCAATGGAAACAGTCTAGATACTTCGCAATAGAAGATTCGTTGATTCTTCAGAATCAATTTACGTGTAAAATGGTGCCATATTGTAGAATACACCTGTGTCTTTGAATTTCCACGTAAAAGAAATCTTTGTTCTATTTCATCTGAAGTTTGATTACGAAATATCTATCTTGATCTCTAAGATGAAATCGTGATTTTTTTCACCACATTTCTGAAAATCTTAATATATTAGAAATACAAATAATTTGTCTGAATTGATATATGAAATATGTGAAACCTTTGAACCGCTAATAAAATATAATTCGTGAGAAATAACCCTTTGATAATCAAGTTAGCTGATTATTATTTTATTCTGTATGTCGACATTTTACTTGAATGTGTATCAAACTTCACAATTAACGTGAATAATCTCATTATTTCGAAAAAAGGTTTAATAAAACTGAGACATAGAATGGAATATGATCGCTAAGTGTATTCAATATAGATTTCGATAACCATCAAAAAAGTTCAGCTATATATACGCGAATTAATGTGAATGTTTTCTGACGCGTATATTTCTGAAACAAGGAGCTACTTTAGGTGAGTAAGATACTGTCATATCCTCTCTGGTATGTTTGAATGGATTATTTCTTGAATCGACTCATTGATAGATGGATAGGCGGTGTTGGTTATAGTTATGTTATGCTGGTCAAACCCAGTGTGATTTATTGTTTTTACTTGACGAATATTTTCGTTCAGAAGAAGTAAAATTTCATTGGTATACATAGGGTTTTATGAATCTGATCAAAAGGAGGAAAACATATCATTTCAACCCATTATTTAAACCATTATTCAACCCAGTATTCACGGACATGGATGCGTCTGGCGTTCATATTTATAATCAGTATAGTTGCAATGGCTTGCCACCTAACGTTTTATGTACTGATGGTGAATATTTTTTCAATTTTAACTTACTTCGTCACTATGAAAATCGAATTTCATGTGTTATTTCGTCGTGGCTCCTGCGGTGTATTCAAAATGTAATGAAAACTTTATTCACGTTTCGGAATGTTTTGAGGTTTATTCGTCCCATTCGAAACTCACAAACAAATTCTTACGTTGAATTTTATTTACCTATCAACGTTTGCTTGTGAAAAACGTATTCACGAAATCAGTGACCCTATTTACATCATACTGCTGCTGTATACTTGGAAAATATACAGGGCTCATGTCAAACTGCATTCGTTATCTTCATTCGCTTATCATGATATTCTTTTTGTTCTATTGTCATCATTACATTCATTCACAGATTTCGAAATATTCCATGATGTCAGATTTAGTTGTGTCCTGTGTCCTTCCGAAAACTATGAGTCAGGAACTACGAAAACCCCTTCCCAGCTACATCACTTCGGTAAGAGTAACACGATATGTAAAATAAGTCATTTTCTCATAAGTTATTAATCGACACAGTGCTCATGACTCTGATGACAGTCGGGTTGGTAGTGTTGTTTGCTATTGAGTAAGGCTGATTAAGAGAGATAATGAAATCTTATCATGCATTTCAGAAAAAACATTTCCGGTTTTTTCATGAAGAATTTCTATATGGTTTATATTATTATGTAAGTTTTCCTTAAACTTTAATGATTGATATTTTAACTAATGATTCTTTCAATTCATGACAAGTGTAATTCATTCACAGTACAACTCCATTATTTATTTATCTAAGAGGTGTTTTTTTGGACTAATAGCAAACGTTCAACTTTCCAGGATTAAAACATACCAGTAAACCAGGCGAGGTTAGAGAATGCGTCAATCTGAATTGATTCTGAGATCGGAGATCTTTACACCACTGAGTCAATGACCCACAATATATTTGATTTACTGCTGATAAGAAGTGTTTGAATACACAGCTGTTTTATTTAACACATGTTCACTGCTATTAAGTCAAATGAGGACATTATATGTTGAGCTTTTTGTTTTTTTAAGGTCAAGTTTAGCGAATGCGAAATTAACTTCTTCTAAGTACCAAAGATCTTGATTCTACATAAGTGTCTGTCCATGCATCTGATAAATACAGAAAGACTGTCATCAAATAACTACTTTACATCTCCGTGCTAGAAACTTCATGTGCGTGTGAAAAGAATAGTGTTTCACTATCTGCTATATCAAATATAATGCTCGTTATGACGTAGCTGTGGTCTGTAAAATTCATCAAACTTGATTGTCTTTTTTGGGGTTGAATCTCTGATCGATCTCATCAATCACGGGTCGAGTGCAGAATGTTCTTTTTAACAAAAAAGAGATTTCATAACTATGATTTATATTGAACTCATCTTGCATTGAGTCATTTCAACTATGTGCTGGTTGAGATCAATTATTGATATTTGCAAATTCATTTCAGATCGGTTGTTGCTATCCTATTACTTCTTCTTATATTCCTGGGGACAATTCGTTCGAATTTTTACGGTGTTCGTATACTACTTTGGATTATAGTAAGTATCAGTATTACGTTGATGTATATGCAATGATCAGGATTTTCATTACTCTATAAGAAAATCAAATTACCCCATTGTTATTTGAGAAATATTGATGACAGTGGCTATCTTGCCAATGAGATTGCTTCTTCAGTTTCTGAGGCATGCCATTTTCGTCTCCATGGCCGTTACAACCATAATTGTGTGAGGAGGAAGAAAACTCTCTCCATAGACAACTGCAGATTAGCAAAGCAATAAGGCTGATGTGAGAATAATAATAAACGTTCACAATTCGAATCAATGTTTAACGTTATTCAATTTGATTAAGCAAGTCAATAGAGAGACATGTGTAACTGAAGCATGTGAATCATCAGTCTGCATGCAGTCAAATAGGCACTTCCTGAACACATTGCAGTAAGACTATTTTCATAAACGTGTTTCGCTTAAATGACAGAAACACTCACCTGCTAGATTCAGATTTTAATAACCCTCGGTTTCATACCATTTCATCACAAATTCATGAGATTTTAAATATCTCCTAGTGTTATTTTCTTCTCTGCGCACTCACTGGGTGAATCATGAGTATATTTTTAATATACGATGGTACCGTGTATTCGCAATTTGACAAGAATCCACAGCTTTCTGAATTCCATGCTTCACTTTGTTTTCACGCTGGACGTAACTTGTACACACAACTGAGGAATGTCTCACTTACTATGCGAAACACGTAGGCTTCTTGCATGTGAAACGAACTGCTATTTTCTATGGATGACAATAATAAACTAAGGTAGGAAATATTGACTTTTAAATCAACATAATTTGCTTACTACACCTTCATTTAACAGATGGTCAAGATTCAGTTATCGTTATTATTATTGTTTCTTCATCCAGGTTATATTATGGTCTGTGGTCTTCGCCGCTATGATCCAAACTGTTCAGTGGAAATGTGCTTTGATATCGTTGGCTGTGACGATTCTGGCTACAGTGATGGTTGCCGTGGTTACTTTGATACTGCCGTCATTGAGTGAAAAGGGGTTTATCTTTTTGTTTCAGATATCAGTTGTCCTTGTGGTTTCAGCTGTCTCTATGAGGATTTGCTTCCACTTAATCCTAGAACAAAAACGGGTAAATTACAAAAATTTCATTCATAAAGATTTACACATTTATTGATAAAATTGAACGAAACCTCTACATCATCATAAAATTCTCTGTTGCCTAAGGTTTTCTTCGTAACCATGCTAAATACAAAAGACAATGAAATGTCAACTGAACACAGGAAATCAGACTCATTGGCTGTTTACTTTACTCAAATTCAACTTCCCTGTCACATCTTGGAAATTAAATTTATTCGTTCCGCTAGAGATTTTTACTCCATTACTGACAGTAAACTGATTCCATATGAACTATTGAAATTTCGTTATGATTCTAAGCAGTTACTGGGGGCTAGTGACTAGAAGCGGGTTGGTATAAATGGCTATATAATTATGTGCAATGATTCGACAGACGGTGATATACGTCCCAATTCATTAGATCAATGGTTACTGATATACTCTATTCACCATGTAACATTCATAGTTCTCACTCGAAAACATTCTTGGTATTAAATATGGATTATGAATTAGTTTATCAGTTTATCGAAAGATGTTTGAGGATATTTTGATAGCTTCCATTGTCTACATGTTGGCAGTGAATATTTTGTTTAGTGTCACAGTATGAGAATTCACACTCCAAACGAAATTTTTGAAGATTATTTGTGAATGCTCTCCTTGTTTTCTGCATTTCTGAAATTCAGGTATTCTGCGTACTCACAGTAGTTTTAATCGCAATACTCATACTCGCAGTAAGTCTTTGATTTTATCAGTGTATTCAGTACAATGACTTTTGCAATCCTATAGTTCACAGCACATCATGTGCCTAATAATACTGGAATGTCATTATTTATGAGGCATTGCCACTCAGATTACTAGTTTTGAATACAGTCACACCACTAGTAAATAGGGTTTTGGTTATTAAGAAATTTTCGTAAATCATTGTTAGTTTCATTTGACGCTGAATTTTACATGTGATAATATCTGCTGCTAATATAAAATGCGGAAACATGCCAATAGGTTAATTTCAGTAGGACTTCCATCACTGATTTATACGACATACATATGATGTATATGACAAACCTGTGATTATCCAATGTGAGACGCAGGAATTGTGGCGATGAAACAACATTTGGAAATAAACTAATCAACTGAATTGGTTGCTTGATGATGCCTAATGATTCTGATGTTCACTTATGTTCCCTTATACTCAGAAAGGATAATAACACATTCGATCTGCAGATCTGAACAGAAAATCTTGTGCAATATGAGTGAACTGAAATAATACTATTAGAGGAGCGACTAGTGCGAACATATCTTAGTGAATATATCAGTCGAAGTCATTTACGACACAGTGATTAGTTGATGTTCTGGAAGTGTGTTAGGTGAAGATATGTCAAACAGGTTAAATGACGAAAAACAACACTGACTATCCAAAATCTCATAGTCCATCAAACTCACAGGCACACTATAGTCATGTGCTTGCGTTTCTAGATGTAAGTGAAAAGTGTGAATTATTCAGACAATCATTCAACTCCAAGTAGGGTTCACGTTATCTGCTCCTAGAGAAGTCTGAAGGTTGATTATGAATTTGTTCGATGTTTGACCAGTATCTCTGGCGAGATGAAAACATATCTCGTTAGTATTATGTGATCATAATGAATAAAAACTTTTCACTACAGAATACGAATTTCCTAAAACATTATAGAAATAAAATGTAGTCTGTTTTTGCTTACACTGTATTACTTCTTTACACTTCAGTTGGTGTTTATTTGTGTCAATATGCGAAGATGGATAACGTGGTGGTTTCCGCCTAACTCCACAACATTCATTCTTGCTTTCATTCTTTGGTTCCTAATGACAAATCTCTTCACACAAACATATGAGAGCTTCACATCATGTGGATTTTATTGGTGTGTAAACTATGAAAGCAATCTAGTATCTGTGAAATAGTTTCCAGATTATTTTCGTTGAACATGCATCATCGCTTTACTAATGTGCCTAAATATCTAATTTTGTATGACGTAGTATATACATGTATTCTCGTGTGTTTACATCTTTTCTATTCTGAAGAACCGTCAACTTCATCATATACAGTGAGACATAAGTGACACTATTTGTTTCACAGAACGAGAAACGATTTGTCAGTTTGTGAAGGTGGTTGAGTGGTGAGATGTCACGAATGTTTCAGTTTACCCCGTGAGAAAAATCACTCGATTTTCAATCTAGTATGTTGGAAGAAGAATGATTGAGCATCCAAGTGAAAGCCAAGAACTAATATCGATAATCGAAGAAAATGCATATTAGTTAGTGACAATGGAAGCGGAAGCGGGTCAGGTTCTATTGAGACATTCTGAAATCGATTCAACATACACGGAATAATTTCCGGATATTAGCGCTTGTTTGTTGAACATCACGGAAATGAATGAATCACGTATGAGATAGTTACCTCTTTTGACACTGTTTTCTGTTTTCTCATATTTAAAAGTGGTTTAACGTTATGAAATGAACCGTGTGTATGTGTGATGAAATTGTTTTCGATGTCCAAATCAACGGAAATGTGAGGTCACCGAAGGATCTTTTTTCTCGCTAAACGCATACACCTGTGAACTTATCACATTATGTATAACTACAAAAACGATAGAGAAAATGTGTAGTTGATGTAGATAGTCCTCTGAACCTGTTGGTGTAATATCGACGCCTTTATTATTCAGGTAGGCTTCGACATACGCTACGTTATGCTCAACCGTCAGCTGACATATTCTCAAGTCACAAAGATTATTCTGGTGGAATGGTTATGGTGAAAATATTCAAGATTTCACATGAACTCAGAGTAAGTCAGCCAGTCTATCCTAGGTTTTTACTAACTAGTGACCATGACCGGCATTCGAAAATGTTCACAAAGTTAGGTTATGATCACACAAAATCGCGATGGGGAACGCAATTATGAAACTAGGTACCGGTTCGCGACCATTGTGGGAATTCAGAATGCATTTAAGTGTTGAGAAACATTTAATAGACAATTCTTGAGTCAATTCACTAACCAGCGTATGTGTCTAAATAGACTACACGAACTCGAATTCTGTGAATTTCTCAGCTGCAATTAGGAAAACCAGTTCGTAGATGATATATAAGATGAGGAGCAGAGGGGTAGTGAAGAATTATATGACTTATAAAGGCCATTCAATTCGAATTGCAGAAACCAAATTAAAATTATATGTATAACCATCTGACAAGTGGTGAGTTACATAGATGTGACTATGAATTGTCGTGTTGGCTAAAACCACTATGTCCATTTTGATTATCCTTTTAATGCCAAAAACAAGCGAAGTTACCAACAAAAGTTGTTTCATATTCAGTTGTTATCCTTTGCAAAAGGAGACCAGATGAATTATGCATTAGTTAGTTAATTGCTGGATGGTGATTTGCAGTGGGATACAGGTTGTGCACTTCGTCCTATTTGAGACACATCTGCTAGATGTGCCTGAATTCCGCAGTTAGTGATGATTTATTTACCAAGTCTGGAACCCATTGCCCATAGTTTCAAGCGCCAAAGCGGTACACACTAGACCACTTAGACTACGAGAGAGACCTCATGTGTTAAAGGTCATATTAGTTATTTAATTCAAATTACAATTTCCTCGTCGACAGATTGGACCTAAGTGCTCCCTCAACCGAAATAAATAAATTGATTTAATGAATCATTCTTGAATTTAATTGAATTCAGTTATTGATGAAAGTATAAAACATGGGCACTGTTGTAGAGTATAACTCCATTAAAGATAAGATTTTATTTTGATAAATCATACAGTGTCATACAGTAATATTGACTCATGACGTATCTAGCACAAACTATTGCTCATAATCATATCAAATTACTCATACAACTTTTTGATTCCTATATAGACAAGGGTGGAATGAGGTAAATGCAGTGAAAAGCTGTGTGTGTATCTTGATATGATTATGAGCAATAGTGTGTGCTCGAAACACCATTAGTTAATATTACTGTATAGCACTGTGTGATTTATCAAAATAAAATCTTATCTATCACGAATTCAATTAAATGTTATATTTAGTGTTGGAAAGTACTCATCACTTATAATCCCTACACTCTGAACACAAAAGTGTTTTGAAATTGAATATCACCAGAATATTTATACAGATTAACGTAAATTAACTGACATTTAGCAAACCGCAAAAGCATAAAGTATCCTGTTTAACAACGTCATGCTTCAGCTGACAACATCAAATTTAAAAAGAAATTATAGAATGGAAGCAATCAGTCTTCAGCCAACATCAGAAATAGCTATGCTTATTGCGACGGGAACACGATTCAACCTTTCTTGTTTTATGATCACAGCATAACAGCTTTGCAAATCACCGTATCTTTAGTGAAATAGTTTAGAATAAAAACAGTTTATGAAGTTTAACTGTGAACAAATTATGAACAATAATGATTTCTTTATTATTATTTTTTTAAATTGCTTAGTTTATAATATAAAGCTGTGAATAGTGAAGAAAGAACACTTTTCTTGTTTCGACAACGTTTCAAGTTTCAGCAAACAAATACTGTTTTGAACATCATTGTTATTGTTATTATATAACATCGAATTGATAACACACAGAAAATCTCATTGATGTATATATGTTATTGGTCGGTATATCATAGTTCAATTTATATGATATGCATAAATTAATAGAGCCCACTACCAGATATTGAAGGCAACTATCATGAGCAACAGTAGACACCTTCTGCCGACTGAAGCTTACCATAAATTTCAATCACCGAGTTTCTAATTTTTTCAGAACATTTATTCTGCTCTTCTCCGTATTTAAGTGAATATAGGTTTGGATAGGCAAAGATGTTTTATGGTATCTGTATAAAGTGCAAATTGTCGGTTTGTGTCGAAAAGAATAACACCTTTTTTCAAATACGTTTCTTATCGGATGCCTATAGCTGACTTGAACGTAACAAAATTTTATCAAACTAAATGGTATTTATCACCTTATCAGCTTCTTATCTTTATAACGCGAATTTCTGCATTGTTTGCAGACGTGGATCTACTGTTTAAACGCTTTATGTGTGTTTCCTCAGCACTGTCTATTTATCTCGGAGACCCATGTGACATGAAATCATGGTACTTTTCCAATCTTGTAAAGGTATCTCTGTACACTAATGTTCTAGGCTTCACGATGCTCATAAGATCCCTAGGAAATAAACTATTGGGATGACTTATTTTTTAAAAACAGTTATTTTCGATTCCTAAAAGGGACTAACTAAATATTGTGGGGAGTGATTATTTTCTTTCCAAGTGTAAGTGGTAATAAGTCAGCGAATGAAGCATATTATACTGAAAAAATAAGTGGTCTATAGGGTTTACATGTATACAGGATAAAAACTCACAAACAGAATAAGTAGAGTTTTACAGTATCTAGGAGCTAACACACATTGCGTGGCACGACATAGCATGAGTGATGGTTGGAAATCTATGTTTCTTGTACAAACTTCATATCTTTCCAGTGAGTAGCGATGGCTTTTATTGAACAAAGAAAGCATTGTTATCTAGCAGGTATAAATGATTCATTGAGTGTAATAATAGACAACGATCCTTCGATTCTTAATTTGTGATATTACTGAAACCATACTGAACTAATAATGTCTTTTATTATAATCCTCGTTTAGCTATGTTGGTGAATTTTATGGGGTAAAAAATATCTGATTCATTCAGTAACGAATACCTTTTCCAGCTTCAAAGGGGAAGTCCATCCGATGGATTCAACATTAGATGGTCTACTCGATTTCATCTTCCAGATTAGGTATGACAACTTGAAGGGTCTACATTAGATTGCATAACCCTGTTGATTAGCACTTTTTATGAGTGCCCAACCTAAATAAGGATCTTCAACGGAATATTAAATTATTCCTTAATAACTAATAGTGATAGTTACTTTGCATTAGATTCTGATGAAGTACACAACTCATCCCACAAATATCTACCTAGCGTACAGTTGCCATTCACCCATTTGGTGACTTTACTAAGTTTTTTTGTGATCATGATATGAAGTGCATATATTGTCTATTCACTTGAATTCTTGTGTGTTACATTATTCTTAGGTTGCAGATAGTGAGAATGTCTTCTATTTTACAACAAATAATAGGTGTGTCGTCACTGTAATGGTAAATTATGTGAGAGGATTTACAGTTAATGACCATCTAGAGTAAAGGCTAAGAGATTCAACAGTATTTTGCAAGTGTTTCAGCTCTATACTGGATCGACAGTGCTTGGGGCATAGAAACTAGTCGCAATAATTATTATGTGCTTCCTAGAAATGCGAATCTGGATATAATCAAAAATCCACTACTCACCTAATGTAACAGTAACATTCAGTCACTGGGAAGTAATACACTGGCCCCTAAATTCAGGATATTTGTTTTCAGGGGCACAAAGTTCTTCCAAGTGACTGCACGTTAGACGAGCTCGCCTACTAACCTGAAGTCGTTGAGTTTAAATCCCGGTAGGCTGATTTACGTGGACTGTTAAACATTTGTGAACAAAATGTGAATAGCTCTTTAGTGCTGCTTGATTTCCAGTAATCCTGTAACTGATACTGATCCGTGATCAAACTTAAAACCAATCAAATCCCTACAAACTGACACTTAAATTCAAAATCATCGTCTCATTGCACAGTTAAAGTGTAGGCTTCCAAACATGTGAATTGACTGTTTCATAAATGCAACAAATCACACTTCGAATACTGTCACTTTTGAGGTAAAATGGATGAAATATGAAGGACAAGCCATCGATAGACATCACTG